CTCCTGAAGCGATAGCCGGATTGAAATTGAATTGTGTCGGTAATGAAGGTGATGTACCCATTAATGGTGATGGGGATCGTTTCTCTTGTTGTTGTTGTTCTTCTTCTTCTTGTTGTTCGTCTTCTTCTTTTTGTTGATGTTGGTTTTTTAATAATAATAATTTTCTAGACAATGATTTAGATGATAATGGTTGACGATAAAACTCGAATGGCTCATGGGATGCATGAAGAGAAGAATCCAAGAATGATGAATGATCATCATGATCGTTAATTGTTGATAATTCGCTGCTTTCGCCAATCAACATTTGAGATATATCACCACCTAAATCATAATCAATACTCGGTATTGGATGATGACGCAAGAGCCTGAGTGAAGAATATAAATCAGCAGATGGATGACGACGGATATAGCGAAGGGTTGATGGTGAGATCGGGAAACCATGCACATATGTGGTGGGTAAAAACAATGATGAGACAAGTGTAACGACGAACACGGCCAGAATGTCGGATATCATTATGAAATGGACGAGGAATTAGCAGTTCGTCAGATGTTCTGAAATATAGATAAATAATGAAATATATATTTGAATTTAATAAATTTCTATAGAAAATTTTGTCTATGAGTAACAAGAAAAACATTACAAATAGTTTGTAAAGAAATGATCCCAAAATTCATATTAACTACATCTGTTCTTTCAAACATACAAATAACTATTTTAGTTATTATGCTGTATGGTATTCCATTAAAATAGTATCAGAATTACACATGGTTTCATTTAGCCAATGAAATATAATTCAATCAATTCAGGTATATGATGACATAGATAAACATTTTTAAATAATAAAACATTACTTATATATATTAAATGAAAGAAAACCTATATATATATATATAAAAGATTGACTATGAGAAACCAAAAAAAATATAAGCATTTCTACTTTACCTAATGGCATACTCATCTATTTTCGTTCTCTCGTTTTTTTTTATTCATTCTTTCTCTTTATCAAGAAAAAAATATAAGAACATTATATAAAGATCGATGATGATACTTCAACAATCTTAAATAAAAATACGAAATGCAAGACACAATTATCCAGATGAGTGATAGGCAATGAGTAGTACTTGGTTCTCCGTACATATGCAATCATCTCATTTTTCATTGCAATCTTACAATTCTCAAGAGAGATCAAACGAGAATATGTGTGTATGGTGGAGGTCAGCAGGAGACTATTTGATTGACGTTTGTATGTGACATTAATTGCAACTTTCTTTGTTTTTTTCTTCTTTTTTCTATGTTTGATCTATCTGTGATGTTGTCTTCTATTCAAATGAAATGAAAGAAACGAAGAGTAATAACAAATCAATAGTCTTGTCTCAAGGAATCATTGATTTCTATTCTCTCTGTCTGTCTGTCTGTCTCTCTCTCTCTCTCACTCTCAAAATATACTAATTGAAATAGCATGAAGAATTTGGCGATCGAACGAAATCATACAATATAACTAGGTGTCAAATAGATAAAAACACGCAATCCTGACAATGATAAGAAAAGACATCGTCAATGATAATAGATGTTGTCATACAGTACTTATGACGGTGACATACAATGTCAAACATCAGTCAGGAAATGCACATTTGCTTTGCATATTTTGGTAAAAACTACTCCTCCTTATTCTATGCCAATCATACAGGCGTATGCTAATCAGAAAAAAATACAGTTGAAATAAATAGACTTAAGATCCAAAATAGGAAGTAATAATTAACGACTAACTATATAATAGTGTTCTTTTTCTTATTTTCATTTCTGCCCACGCAATTTTCTTTCAATATATATATATATAACAATTAAATGAATCATTATAAACGCTTATATTCTGCTGATATGGATGACAACCAGTACAAAGATAGGCTCATGAGGTAAAATATTTTTATCTATATATACTTGTAATGAAATCAATCAGAAGACTAGTTTTCATCTCTTGCAAAGAAACTGCACAAGTAATAGAAAAAAAACACATGTAAATATTTAATAGATCACTAAAGAAGCATTGTTGAATCATGACCTCAACATAAAAAACAAGAAAAACCAGTAAAAAGATGAACATCTCTTCTAACTTAAGAGTTCCTTCCATAATGTATAATATTACCTTTAGTGAATATTACAATAGCGAACAAGATTTTAATAATGATGTTCATGTCACAATTCTAACATTACGCATATATATAGTATTGTCTGTATCAAATATTTATTGTCATTAACGACATTTCATCTAACTACAGTGTAAAAGAGAAAAAGGAGAAGACTCATAGAAATGGAATCATTGATTGATTGATTGGTTTTTTCCGGAAAAGCAGTAGATGAAGAACAGAAAGAAAGAAAAGCGAAATAATAATATATTAAGAAAAAAAAGCAAATGGATTTATATGTTGAATCGATCCAAACTCTAATGACATAAAATCAATGTATGCAATAATATATATATATAGAGAGAGAGAGAGAGAGAGAGACAGAGGGGGAGAGAGAGAGAAAGAGATGGATGGTAACGATAGCAGTATAAGAGAGCGCACATAGAATCAATGTTCCGAATATTTATGTAGCTCTTTTCCTATAATGACACATAAGTATAGGTCAAAAAAGAGACACAAATTTTCTTCTCATTAAAAAAAAAAAAAGATCTAGAAAAAAAAAGAAAATTTTATTGATGAAAGTGACTTTATTTTAATCAATTGTAAATGAATGCGGCATGTCTAATAATCAAAGAATCTAAATGTAAGTGTCAAGTGAATTGAATCATCACTCGTCAAGAAAAAAGGGAAATTTTTCTGTTAATTATATTTGCACCTTCTTTCCTGAATCGCAGTACTTGAATCAATTCCTAGATACGGCTTAATAATAGCAGATGAAAAATAGTGAGAATTAAATGATTTCTATTTCTGTTTTATCTCAATTAATATAAAGACTATCCGAAATAATTCTTTATTTCCTAAATAACACTAGTCTGTATATAAATATACAAATCAATTGTGATAAAAAACAGTTGATCACATACGCCCACCTGTTTTTGATATTAAATAATTGAATTTTTTCATATTCTGTTCAACCATAAAACCAGATGAAAGATGGATAGTGGATAGACAATAAATTATTGAAATGAAACTATTGTGGACGACACATGTATATATGATGGTTTTTCGAAAGTACAAAGACACAATAGTTTTGGTAATTTTCAGAGATTAATAAGAGTCGCTCTTAACTAAGATGTAAAGGGAAAAAAGAAGAGAATAGTATATCAAGAATAATCAATAGTGTTGTTCGGCTTGTTACTTCAAATTGAATTCAGTTTTTTTTTTCTATCCTGATTAGTTCTATGTGATTCTTTCTCTGTTTAGATTATGGTGTCTTGTCGTCATTTTCTTTTTTCTTTTTAAGTATAACAACAATAAGTTTTCTTTTCTCTTTCCGGTTTCCTTCTTCACTCGAGTCTCTTGACAACATATCCATTACGATACTCACTTTCAATTTCCTCTTTAAGTCTTCTATTTTCATCTGTCTGTTTTCTCTTTCATTCTTTTTTTTTCTTGCATAAAGGAATCAAATTTATTTATATGCATCCGTACTAAGCTCATATTTATATTTTTATAAATACAATGCTTTTTACGAGCGTAACGAAAGTCTGAGTAGGCGATAACTTCATCATTAATTTATCTAGCAAAGTAATACTCACTTAGAAGCATATCAATACTAATAAATAGTTACCTTACTTCCACGTTTTCCTGAGTAGAATTTACGGATTAAAAATAGCATATATGATTTAATCGCTATGTTTGTTCAAGCGAGAAGTAACAGTAAATAAAATTTATGCGCTTGAATTATCTTTTAAAAAACTAAGCTAGAAAAAAAAATGACATCAAAATCAATAAAACCTATCGGATTATGGAAAAACAAGTGTATGAGGATGTTCTTTGATTTGTTTTTTGATCTATTTTTGAAAAATTTAACTATAACTTACCTATTCGTTCTTGTCAAATATGTAGGGTCCAATCTTTCATTTCCGTCGACTGTAAAATAGTCGATATAGCATCGAAAGCAGAATAAGATGTTTCTCTATTCTTTGAGCTTTTGTCATTGATTGGAGTTCTCTGCTATCTATGAACTCACCTTTTTTTTTGCTCTTTCTAACACGCACACCCTATCTCGTTTATTGAATGATGTTGCGTTCACTTGACTTGTTTCTGTTGTGTTGAAGTTGACGTTGTCATTATGTCAGCAGCAAAAAGTCTGTTTTTTTTACTGATTTGTGCCTTTTTCGATGGAAATTTCTGATGAGTTCAAGCGCATTAACACTAATGATAATTATAAGTTGTGTTCACAAATTTTTCCTTATATCCTTAGCAATGTGTAAAGGCTTGAAAATCAGTGAATAAATATTTTAATACATAATAATAGTTTCACATTTAATCAAAAAATAAAAATAACTTTTAAAATTCACAGTGAATTAGAACCTAGTAAAAATTATGTCAAGTTAATGCTGTTGAAAAATTTTATTTTATTATCATAATTTCGAATAGACGTGAGAAAAAAAGTTGCTATTATTATGGATTTAGTTAGACATATGCATCCATTGATTTACAAATAGGCTGATGAACAATCTGAATAAATTTTTTTTTACCATGTACCAGCAAGTACTAAAAAAAACATAAGTTTGTCATTCCCATATGTAATTTAGCATGATTTATAATATATACTATTTTTATTGTCTTTTCTTATCTTACTTTTATATTGATGTACAGTAACAGATAAAGCATTCACTTAAAAATTCGCTTTCTATTATTCTCATAGAGTTTCACAATAAATTTGATAACAATTCTTCTTATTTATTTATACAAAAAAAAAATCACTGGATATTAATAATATATTACTACACGATTAAGTTTAATAACTTGATAGCTTCTAAATTTCGAGACCGTTATATTAGAAAATAAAAAATATTCATCCTTTATTTCTATATAGCTTTAGCATCTAACAATTTTCCAGTTAATATAAGGCCAACTGAACAAAATAGGATTACAACCCATGCAAAAATTCCAAGTATAGTTAAAATTATAAGAACAGATTGTATTCTATTTGATAAACGTTCAGCAGCATCTAATTCTTGTCGTTGAATCATTCCACGTAATTTCAATGATTTATAAAGTGCCCAACATGGCCCAATAATAAAAAAACAAAATATCGTTAGAATTAATGCCCATTTAAAATGTGTAGGAATTTCAATAGGTCTAATTCTAACAGAATTTTTTGGAGGTTTTGATGTTTGTAATGGTAATGGAGGTTTCTTTCTATTATTATTATTATTATTGTTTGATTGTGACCGATATTTGTCAGCTTGAAGATTTCTGACAGATAATGGAACCGCTGAATCTTGTCGTATCGAATCGAAATTTTCAGACTGTTGTGTCATTTGTTATTGTATTATTCGACCTTCTGTTTGTAAAAAATAATCAAACAGGAAAATAGAAAATAATGCTATGAGCAACTGCTTAACAATCAAAAAAAAAAAGTTTTTACGTTCTGCATCATTACGACAATGAAATTGAGAATCAGAAAAAAAAAACGAAAGCAAAAAAACAAGTAGCATAAGTTACATCTACACATGAATTTAATGATTATATATCAACATACTTTCTTAGCTTTTGAATTTTTTATTTTGTATCAGCATACGAACCCATTATTGATAGAACATCATGTCGATTTCAATCATATTATTCTATTAGTCTTTTGCTGTGATAGACCATCGTTTTTCTCTTTTTTTTCTATTGACTTCTACTTCTTACTCATAAAAAAAAACGCAACACAGAAACAAAATCAAATAAGAAGGGTTCTTTCTGATCTTTACTTATGTATGCATCGATCATAAAGTAAATATTCTCTGTTTTTTATGATTTTTTTCGTTCTACCAGGAGAGTAAAAAAGTTTTTTTTGATTATATATCGAGGAAGTACATTAGACCTTCCGATTTTTTTTTTGTGCTTTTATTTTGTGATAAAAAAAAACACATATAAAGACCAATCACATTCAATTAATACGAAAAAAAAAGACAGGAAATAATAGATTATTATCACCGATAATATACTATTTATTACAATATTTATAAATATAATTTTTAAAGAGAATCAGGTGTTGATGAAAGAATTTTCAAGTTAAGTTCATATAATCGATGACAAACATCTGCAATCGGAGGATTTTGTTGAAGAATAACAAGTAAATCTAAATGAAACATATATATATATATATTTAAATCTATAATAGTACGTTTTTCTTTTTAATAATTTTAAACATACTCGCTGTTGTATGCATTTTTTTCAATGACTCATAAAGAATTGTAAGTGCAACATCAACTTCATTATGTTCATCACCAAAATCATCTGGCCAAAGTGATCTTTAAAACAAAACAAACATATTTCTAAATACATTTAAATTAAATTTTTTTAATGTTTTCGTACCTTGCAGATCGAAGATATTTAATTGCATTTGAATATGTATTTGAATGTAAACATTGAAATATATAAGCAATAGCTGTATCACGATTTGGTAAATTATTTGTTTCAATAGTTGGTTGATCTTCTTTACCCGAACGAAGATCATTCAAAAAATCATTTAAACCATTCATTGCTAATGTAAATTCTGAAGATAAATTTCGTACATTTATTGTTAAATCACGTGCAACAGGTAATAAATTATTAACTAATTTTGAATAACTTTCTGCTAATGTTATTACTTGAAAAAATAAATCTAAATTAAAGAAAACATATATATATATATTCAATTAAGAAAAATATTCAAATAATCGAACAATATGAGTTTTCAAAATATAGAAAATGCTAGAAATTCAAACTTAAGAGTTCATATATATTGATTATTTTAACTTTTGTAGCTGTTTATTTTTTCGATTTATGATATTTATATTAAAGACACAATTTTTCGATGTTGATATGTTTGTTCACAAATGATTGATGATGAGTATATAAATTTTTTCTAATTTCTCTCTTAGTCTATTATTTATATAAAAAAAAAACTTTTAAAAAGTGTAGCATAAGGACATGCCCTCCTCCTTTGGACCACTTCTGGCTTTTCACAATAGTACATCCAATCGCGCTGCTATTTTTTCTGAAGATACTTGAGATAGAATCTCAGAAGCCTTTTATGTCCCACACCTCCAGAAAAAAATGTCAGTTGGATGGTTGTCGAAGATTTTTTCAATAATTCTTGAAAGCCTACTTTTAAAATTATTACTCGAATTTCAACTCGGCCAATTGTACTATTCCGGAGAACTAGAAATAGTCCAAAAAAGAAGAAGTACTTTTGAATTAATGCATAAAATTATAGTGTTACATTATTTTTATTGCTTTTTTATAATGAAACATTAATATATAAATAACAAAGAAGTTTTTATTTTATGAGAATCTACTCTTATCAAGTAATTCACAAAAATTTATGATATCATAGATAAAAATAAAATATGCAAAGAAATTTTATACATTCATTTTCTCATATAAATACTCCAATTTTTAATAATATCACATATCAAAGTAATAAGAAAGAATCATATAAATATTGACGAAATATATCGCAAAGTTTGATTGACATGAATAACACAAAACTTCATTGTTCTCTTTTCTTTATTCATTAATTTTATTTTTAACAATAAAACCTAGGTTTAATACCATAATCATGAATGACACTCTTGACAGTTTATTTATTCATTATAATTAGTCTAACAAGTCTTTTGTAACATGACACACAACTATAATTGAGATTACTGTAATGAATGGCTCAAACTAAATGATCTCATTAGTATTTCTGAAATAGCTTCATCATCTTTTTTCTTTGCACAACAGTGTTTTTGACAGAATCTTCTATGTCAAATAAATTTTTTACTAAATGAACCCATGTAATAACTACTGCGGATATACCGATCGGCATAATGTGCGCTATACTATCAATTTGTTTTGAGAAATGTTCTATCATGGTGTCTATTACAATGAAGATGGATAAATATTTTTGAAGTCAATAAAAATTGATATACTTGAGACGCTCTCGATACTCTCGCCTGATGTCAACACGTCTGAAGTAGCCATAGAACTAAAATTAGTTTCAATTATACATTCTGAAACTGTTGTGTTTTCGATTAATTTAAGATCTTTCTAATTAGTAATGCGAATTCGGGTAGATAATACTCTCTTCCTTTGCAGTACTTTACTATACACTTGAAGTTTTTAATTAATCTATTTCATTTATTTGAATTTATCAAACAAAATATATCATCTTGTATAATAAATTTCAATGAATAGAAATCTAAGTAATTGAAAAATCGATAGTTTTCAACGATGAATAATGCTTAGACTACTTTTATGTTCATTTATTCAAAAACGACTATTGACTTATTATAATAATATCGATATTAATTAGGAGACTAGAATATATAAGATAAACTCATGCATGTTATAGACTAATGAATATTATTAAAATAAAAGAACATGGATTTAAGAGATCATACGAAAAATAAATCCTATGAATAAAAAGTTGTAACAATAAAATTGCTTATGTATTTCAGATGAGAAAAAAATTCGAATGTGGATGCGAAGATTGTGAATGTGAGGAGGGTGTCTGTGTGTGGATGTAGATGAGAAGAAATATGGCTGTGAATCTTCTCTTCAATGCTGACTTACTATAAAGATGTTTACACATATGAATTTTTTGTTCATTTGAAACAAATTTATCATAACCTCGTTCACCTAATGATTGTAATTTAAGATTAGCTTTAATTGAATCAAGACAATCAATTGCTAAAGCTTTTTTTGATATATAATTTCCATAATTTTCATTTAATTCAGTTATAATTAAACGATGTTTTATTAATAAGTGATTGATATTCATTATATTTTCATCAACAAAAACTAATGTACAATCAAGATTCTCCATTAAAACATTAAGCATATGAACTAAAAATGAGAAAAAAAAATATTTAAAAAAAAAGACATCAAAAATACGTACCAAATTGTGAAACTGTTTGTCGAAAACGATTATCCATGGAGAGACAATGACATGTTTCATGTACAAATATGGATAATCTTCGTCGAATTTCCTTAAAAAAAACAATAGTTAAATAGATTTATTCTTGTTTTTTTTTTTCTTTCTTTTTAATTTAAAATTTTACTTTAAATAAACGTCGAAATAATAAAAATGTTTTAACACTATCAGATGGATTTATTTCATCAATTAAATTTTTAGCATGTGTTTGCCAAGCATCTTCAATATATTCATTATTCATTGTAACAACATGTAACAATCCTGTTGGATGATAATTTTGAGAAACAGTTAGATCAGGCATATCTTCACTAAAATAATAAAAAGAAAAAAAAAATTTATTTAATTATTTTTTTATCTATAAATAAATTCAAATATAGAAATAAGCCAACACACAGAAATACAATACAATATGTGCAAAGCATGTGAGTTGTTTGAATAAATGGGAAAAACGACAACAAAAAAAAAAAAAAAAACGTACCGTGACCATGATGTCCAACATTTGCTCGGTGCTCTCCTTTTGATTTTTCTCGGTTCTAGTCTATCTACGATGTATGAGCAGCGTAGACTAGAAAAATTTATTTATATTGAGCAATACATGCATATTATTCGAGCAGCAAAAGAATCAGTTAGTTTATTTAAAATACTTACGAATTAATAGAAGCTCCCGTTCTTTCTCTTCCTGCTGTTGGTGCTGTTGCTATTGAAGCTGTTGTTGTCGAAGCATCCATAGCCGATGTAAATTCTTCCATATGTCTTGATGTATCAACAACAACATCAGTCATATGAGTAAAATCACTTGCACTATGCTAAAGTGAAATATATATTATATTAATTAAATAACATACAAATCAATTAGACATGTTAAAAAAATAAAGCTTGTCTATCAAGCAGTATGTTATTGCTGCAATGGCACGAAACGAATACGGGGAGAAGGCCTTTTTTTTTCGTTATTGTGCAATATAAGTTATGATAGATATGCACGTAAAGCAGAAGAAAGAGGGATAATAAAATCAAAATACAAGACTATCCAAGAATAACCTTGCGAAATGCTGTTTTGCTTCCATTGGGACTAGTAAATACTGGTAGTTTTCCACGAAATTTTGATTTTAGTCGAGATGGATCAAACCATTCGCCAACTGATGATAAATTTCGTAATGTATTGCTGATACTATGCCGTCGGGGCTAAAGGGAATAGTGATCATTATTAAATAGAAATATCAGAATAAACAAAAATAGAATAAAAACAAATGTATCTCTTTTTTTTTTGTTTGAATAAACAAAACAAAAACTTCATTATATACCTCATTATCAACAGGTAATGAAGCGTCATCAAATGATATCATTGGTCCATCATCTTCATCAACAAAATCT